TTTTGAAATGACAGTATTTAAAGCATGCTCACTGCAAACACAGTTACCTGTGTCCCACTCAGGAACTCAAGAACTTCAGTCTGAAGGCTGGGTGCCACTTACACACTATGCTAAGGAGAAAGACAAGCACAGCTTTACAAGGCCTAATTTCATGAAGAGCCCAAAACCTTACATATAAAATCTGTTACTTAGCATGTCAACTGTTAAGGGGTCCACCTACCCACAGAACTCTAGTTCATTCCCAATTCTCCAAAGACACAAGACAGAGCAACAAACTACTACCCTAAGTCCAAATCTCTGCTATTCTCTGGTTTTGCATATAAAATTTTATTGGAGTAATACAAACAACCTAGAATTTCAACCTAACTGCATTTGACTATACCAAAGACTACATATAGTCCTAAAGCCTACAATATTCTATTTGGTCTTTTATAGAAAATGTTTAGGGACCTTCAGCTATACCAAAACACTAAGTTTGTGATCCTGTCCTGGGAATGCATTCTAATTTCTTACTGCCCCTTTCAACTCTCTTGATTCGAACACTGACAACCACATAATGTGTCTAGCTCTCATACTATTCTCTTCCCAGAGCCTAATACCAAAGTGATAGTTTTCACTGGAAAATACTAGTGAATCCCTAATATTCCAGATATAAACAAAAAACAAAACAACACAAACCCTCAAAATGAAAAGCTCCAGTGGTAAGGCCACACAGAAAATTATGTGTAACTATGGAGTGGAGATGCAGGAGATTAACTTTTACTATCCTTTCATGCATTTTTTATGTGCACGGGTTATGTATTTTTTAAATGTTTATAAAGGATGGAAAAAGTATGAAAATATAAAAATTAGAAATCATAACTTTCTCCTTCAATTCTCTACTTTATACTTTTTTGTTCTACAACAACTAAAAATTGATCTTCAACTTTATAGAAATTTTGAAAAATATTTTAAGGAAAATATATTTTAAGGAAAAATAATCAAGTGTTGTGGTGAAAATGTATAATCTTTTTTCTGGTAATCTTTACTAATAAATTTGTTCTATTTACTAGATGAAAAAACAATCAATTAAAAAGCAGATGACTATACATGAAACTATTAATAAACTATTGATAAAAAGGTTGAACTTTGAATATGAAACCTACCCCACTCAGGATAATGATATTGATGTTGAGACAGGACCCACTTCTAGTTCCTGAAGAACTTTCTACATGATGTTTACGAAATTCATAAAGCACTACCAAATACAGTACTGCAGTCAGTCTAGACTGCCTACCTCTACCAACATTTTAATTCACTGCACAGTAACTGATAAAAGACCTTTGCAAGAACACACATCCATGTTTTCCCTTCCACACATTTAGAGAAAGTAAGCACTGAATCTGAAAGGCTCAATGTGAACGCCTAACACTCAATCCTGCTTTCTATCAATTCCATCTCCTACAGCTATACCTCAAAGTAGGCTCTATTTACTTTTCTGTTAAAACTGGTTCCTCTATACATTTAATATACAAACACATTCATTAAAGCCTACGATTAAAGATACTTGGGTGAACACATGGACAAAGAAAGTATTTCTACTCTCATCTGTATTTTTGCACTCATTGTTGGTCACTGTCTCTGTGTCTCTGCTCATTGTGTACACATACATGCATACACACAATCCTTGCATATATAGGAAAGGGTTCTATATCCTCATGTTAATCCAAAGAAAAACCAGTTTAACTATTTTGATCAAATTAAAGCAAGCTTTTTATTAAAACTTTATATACCGACCAAGATGGAATTCAGATAAGACCACTCTTGAAAACTTTCCAACTGAGTGGCCCCAAGACATGTATTGTTAGGGTTTTTATGAACAAAATTCGTAAGCCACTGTACTTTCCCATGAGGGTTTGTTGTTATTTTCCAAGAACTACAACTCTGAGAATCCCAGGAAGTTACCTGGTCCTCAGGCAGGTGGGGCTTATAGGTTAACGCCTTCTTTTTACCTTTCTTTCCTTCTTTTCTTTCTTTTAAAGACAGGTTCTCATTAAGTTGTCCAGACAGGCTTTAAATTTGTAATATTCCATCCTCAACCTCCCAAGCAGCTGGGATTACTGGGGTTACAAGCGAGCACCACCAAATCTTTCATTTTTAAAACTTCCAATCAGGTGTAATTCTTGTGTTTAACATAGCATTGCAATGCTGGTTTGTGATTAATTCTGTAATTTGCTTATCTCATTTTTTCTGTACCTCAGCTGAAAGATCTCTTGTCAGTAGTAAATAGGCAGATAGTTAAGCTAAGTGATCTTTCAACATTCCTTAAGCTGTAGGACATACAAAGTAAGATGAAAGCTGGAAAGATGGCTTGGTAGTTAAGAGAACATACTCCTCTTGCAGAGGACCCAATGGACAGCTCACAAACCCCTTTAACTCAGCTCCAGGGGATCAAATGCTTTTGGCCACTGAAGGCACTAGCACTGGGCATACATACCCACCACACACACACACACACACACACACACACACACACACACACACACACACTCAAAAAGAAAATGTCCTTAAAAAAAAGCTAAATGAAAAAGTTTCAAATATCTCTTAAGGGAAAGAAATACAAAATGTTCAAACCATGGGTCAGCAAAGGTTTGTATAAAGGGCTAAAAGAGTAAATATTTTGAGTTGTGTGAGTTACTGCTCAGAAACAACATTAAAGCATGTATTATAGCACAAAAGTGGCTGCTATGTTTGAAACTTTGTCATTCCACAAAAACTCATATTGTAGTTTAATCTCTACTGTGAATTACTAAGAGAGTAGAAATCTAATTCAACTATTAAGTTTAGAGGTGGAGTCTTTGAGCAGTGATGATGTCATCGAGTGGATTCCCCTTGACTGACTATTGATGGCTGGGGGGGGTGCACAGAGAGGCAGAGGATTCAGATACACATACATTTCCTGTCTCTTGTCATACAATATCCTTGGGACTTTGCCAACAAGGAAGACATCACCAGATGCACTCCCTTGAGCCTCCAACTCTAAGGTAAACAAACTCTTCTTTATGAAATTATTCAGTTTCAGGTATTTCATTACAGTAATATAACATGGACTAAGCAGCTATAGAGAATAAGCAAAATGGCAGGACTATGTTGCAATAAAACTTTAAAAAAGAACCTTAAAACTGGCTCCTCTATGCATTTAATATACGAACACATTAGTCAAAGCTCACTACTAGAGATGTTGGGTAAACCAATGGACAAAGAAGAAAATATTTCTATTCTTATTTGTATTTTCTCAATCTCTCATTCTGTCCCTCCCTCTCGAGAGAGAGAAACCAGAAAGCCACTATTTTCTTGTATTTCACAGAAAAATGAAGCATGAATGAGAAAAACACCACAGTTTAAAAAAACGCACAGTCGGGGGCTGAAGAGATGGCTCAGCAATTAAAAGCACTGGCTGTTCTTCCAAAGGACCCAGGTTCAATTCCTAGCACCCACATGGCAGCTCACAACTGTCTGTAACTCCAGTTCCAGGGGATCTGACACCTTCACACAGACATACGTGTAAGCAAAACATCAATGAACATAAAAGATTTAAAAATGTTTTAAAACTATCTTTAAAAAATACACTGACTAGGAATACTAGCCCAGGAAAAACACCATGTAACAAGATCAATGACTAGAGTTATATAGCATCAAGCCAGTCATGGCTCTACCCACACTTATCCAGCCTCCAGAACCTTGATAAATTTCCACTGAAATAAAGAGCCAACTGTGTAAAAACTTGGTAACCATCAACCTAAGAAACTGATAAAAGGCCAAATATCATCATTACTACAATTAAGGGTCCTGAACAAAAGGCCTTCTAAAGATGATGCCTAAGCTTCATGTCATGATAAAATGCACTCTTCCCAATACACAGAAAGACAGCTGCAGCTACAAAAATACACTCTAAATACTTAAAGTTGGAGCTTTTCAAATGAGCTCAGGAAAGAATAATAGAAAAAGTTTTATATACCAAAGTTGAGAGATCAAAAGAGGGTAAATGTTAGGAACACAGACTACATCATTGGGATACATGTGCTTACTGGTAACATATTTGTATGTCACCAAATCTCAGTACACAGCAGCAAATTAAGAAAAATATGTTCTGGTTTTATATTACTATTTAAGAAAGTAATTTAAAACAACCACTAATTCCCTCACAATTTCAAGTCAGGAATTTAGAAAAGGTTCCACAAAGCAACTGCAGGTGAACATCCCTGATTCCTGAACTTATAAGTGTCAAGGCCTCTCCCAACAAGGAGGTCAGGTCTCAGGTCTCTTTTATAGCACAGTAACCTCGGGCTAGTCTAGTTTCATTGCTCATAAAGCTGTCAATGTCCTCACAACCATGATTCTAATGTCCACGCAGAAGCTCTCACCTCTTCTGACAGTCTTGAAATCACCACAGTATAACTTTCTATTGACAAGTGACTTGAAGACAGCCCAAACTCAAGACATAAACACTACCTCAAAATGGCAGGTATTCTAATGGTTGTTGAATGCTAGAACCGTGCCCCCAAATTGTGACTGTGGCTATGGTATCCCCTCACCCAACTTGGCTAAAGTTTTTTTGCAGTTCTATATGCAAAAAAAAAAGACGACGAGTTATGTCTTTAAATCCTGATAGCAAGTGTCACACTCCCTGTAGTACTGTCTTCACTGAACACTACCTTTGTAACTATAGCTTAGGGATGCAGATGTAGCTAAGCTCAAGGTGAGTTGGCACTTGTACGGTATGCACAGTCTATATTGAGTACTGCAAGGCCACAAACTAGTCTTTCCCAGGAACGTGACTGCTACTGTAAACCAAGTTAAGTAAGCACTCACAAAGCAAACTAAGTGTTGCACCCCCAAACCAAAACGATCCTAGGCTTAAGGCAAAAAGAGCAGTATCATCTAGAGGGGCTCATCTGGAAACCCTTCTGGGCTCTATAGGAAAGATAGGGGCTCGCAACTCTCAATGAGGCCAATAGTACCTTGCCTTCGTTGTTCAAGGAGTCTCTGGGTCCCTTCCTCAGTCACCAAATCTGTCAAAGGACAAAATTAAAACAATTTAGTTTAGCAATCTGTTTTTGTTTTCCAGTGACAGGGATTGGCCCCAGTGCCTTGCAACATACAGTTTAATAGACCCTAATTGAATTCAGTTTCTATTCTATAATCAAACAACACTTCATTCCATAAGACAAGACAAACAAGAAATCCAAGGAATTTGGATGTTGCTAGGGAGGTTTGTGCCCCTCCCTCCCTCCCTCCCTCCCTCCCTCCCTCCCTCCCTCCCTCCCTCCCTCCCTCCCTTTCTCTCTCTCTCTCTCTCTCTCTCTCCTCACCCTCTCCATTGAAACAGTCTTGCTATATAAGCCAGGAAGGCTTTGCATTCAATATCCTCCTTCTTCTATCTCCTAATTGATAAGATTATAAGCATACACCACCATGTCTGGCTTAAAAAGTTGGTTTTGTATACCAAAACAAATAGACAAAAAGCCTAGAGAAAGAAGAAACAAAAGTAGACCACAAATACAGTTCACTTAAAATCACCTTCCTTGTAGAGTCAGGTTTTGAACAGAAAAATAACTCTTGTTAATATCAGATTTTTTTGAAGGTTATCTTTTTTGGATTAAGGAAGAGGGAACTTTATTATCATATCAAATGAAACTAGCCCATATGGGAGGTTTTACTGTTGTTGCTATAATCCTAATATCCCAGGAAATCAAAAATCAGCTGAAAGCTTCACCTTGGTGATATACAACTTTTACCCGAATGACTCCATTTTTATTTTTCAGGGTATGTTAGGGATTGCAGTATAGGAACCTTACTACAATGACTTTCTGTAGTTTTTACCAAATAATTGGTGTGTGTATATACACGTACCCTTGTATGTGGAGGCCAGAGTTCAACCTCAGGTGCCATTCCTAAGGAACCAACCACTTTGCTTTTGAGACAGTCTCCCATTAGCATGGAACTCACTGAGTAGGCTAGGCTGTGCACCCAGTGAGCCCCAAGAATAAGCCTATCTTCACCTCCCTAGGTGTTGGCATAAAAAGTACACTACTCCAGGCTTTTTGTGGGCTTTGGAGATCAAACTCAGGTCCTCATGCTTGAGTGACAAGTACTTCACCAACTGGGCCATTTCGCTCCCTGGGCCCCCTTACCACATATTATTTAGCTAGCAAAACGTTTTAAAGCATGGTTCCATAGGTCTCATACTTTCAAACCTTGTATAGACACACACACACACACACACACACACACACACACCAAGTAATCAAACATTGAATTAATTTCATTTTCCATTTCAATTAACTATGAACTTTAACTAGATTGCCACATTTGGAATTGATAACCTTTTAGCCAAAACAAGACAATTCACTTCAGTGAGACTATAAAGGAGCCTTTACATACATCTTCCAGACTAGCATTTGAAGATACATTGAACGACAAAGGCCTAGTCTGTAACTACAAAAGATAAATAACAAATGACAAAATTATATATATTTATTATATACATGTTTTGAAACACATGTTACATTGTGAATGCAATCTATACGCAGTCTTTTCATTAAGAAAGTATAAATTCTTGTGAAAGTAAGCTATACACAACAAATAAACAACCAAAATGCAAACTCAAAATGTGCAAACTATGTCCACACAGAAAAGAACAGTGAGTTCTTTTCTCAAAAATTAAAGCTTATCAGGCAGTTTTCCATAGACAAAAGAATAGCTCTAGCATCTTGGATAACATTTCTTTTTTCAATAAAAGATGCTAGTGTCCAGTTCTGTTGTAAGCATCCATTGAAGTAGACATAATAGCCACTCTGTTCGCCTACACAGACACTGATATAGCAGTATCTGTACTCTAAATCCCTAATGTCTAAGGTACTTGGTAGTGAGGAATCTCAATGGTCCATTAGATTAGTTCTTGGGCTACTACATTACCATTTTGTACAGAGATGCCCTACTATAAGCACAGCACTTTCAAAAGAACTAGAATGCTTCTAGAATCTTATTATCCCAAAAAATTTTAGATGGTGAGACCCTGTCTCAAGAATAAAAGAACTAACTTATACTACATCAGAGGAAGTACCAATTCTATGGTACTAAAAATTATATGCTTACAAGAAACTGCAAATTTCTCAGTATCATCCATTTTCTTTAGTTTCTGCTTATAAGTTTAAGGTCTATAGTTATAACTACTACAAAGCCTACAGAAAGGGCAGTGTTTCTGTTTATACATAGTATGAAGGAGGAGGAGGAAAAGGGAGGGAGGGAGGAAGGGAGGGAGGGAGGGAGGGAGGGAGGGAGGGAGGGAGGGAGGGAGGGAGGGAGGGAGGGAGGAAGGTCCAAAATAAAAAAATGCAAGCAGTCGTAATAATGAGTTTAGTTACTGAGTGGGTGAGTTGAAATTCTCTCCATTTCAAGGAGAGACTCCTTCAAAGAAACTTGCCCATTAAGTCAGTCACATGTAATTTTATTTTAGATAAACTACTTTATAGATAAATGACTGGGCTATATTTATTCCTTACCTTAATAAAAATGTTTCCATATTAAGAAATTTTTATCTTAATATTTTTAGTCTAGGGGAAATAAAACAGTGTTTAATATACAAGTTATAATAATACTTTATGTTACCAAAGATGATGTTTTCAAGCCTTGCTAAGTCTGCAAAGGAAACTATTCTCTTTTGTTTAAAAAGAAATGAAGGTTGTATACTGTTCACAATATATTTCATAATTAATATTTTTATAATACTGAGCTGAAATTGATGCTAAAGAAAATCTACACTTTAACCCTTAACATTATATGTAGACTACATGACCCAAAACTGAGTCAAATTAATAATCATGTATCTTGTACAGTCTAATTAAAGTTTACTAAACTCTATTCCCCAAGTTAAACTTCCAAAGCATGGTGAGAAAATTGGGTATTCTGCAAACACATTCATAACTGCAAATGGTTATGACTCATGATTATCACATTGAATGACTTGTATGTAATCCTTAATCCTTGCTCTGACTCCCTGCCTCAGAGTTACAAGATAATTCACTTCTCTTGTATCATTTCTTCAGGAGGCTTCTGAATTTGTTTTTACAGTTAAACCTAAAAGCAGGGAAGTTCCGTTGGGAAATGGGTTCGGGGAAACTGTAAACTATACTCAATCAGATTAGTGAAGGTACATTAGCATCACAAAGACTACAAGATGTCCACAAGAAAAGAAACTAAGGAAACTTCAAGACAGGCCCTTCACAAATTTCCCAATACACCCAGAAAAACAATACTCACTAAGAGCTTGTGATCACCAGATACTTCCCTAAAAATGGGACAAACCCCTGAATACAAATCACTTAAGAAAGCACAATTGTCCTTTAATCCGTAAGGCCACATAAGAACAAAATGTTAAGCTACTTACCAAGAATTGCAAAAAAAAAAAAAAAAGTGAACATTATCAAAATAATATGAAGGATTTGTAACTGTATTCAAGTACTAAGTCTGGTTAACACAACTAGTAATGCTGCCACATTTGATACTTAGAAATACTAACAGAGATTTTCAAGAGATACTATTGCCAGTTAAATCATGCTATCTTTACCTAGCCATGATTTTAATTATCAGCTTGTTTTTTGTTGTTGGTGGTGGTGGTAGTGGTGTTTTGTTTTTCTTTTTCTTTTTTTTTTTTTTTCCTTTTGGTTTTTCGAGACAGGGTTTCTCTGTGGTTTTGGAAGCTATCCTGGAACCAGCTCTTGTAAACCAGGCTGGTCTCGAACTTGCAGAGATCTGCCTGCCTCTGCCTCTCAAGTGCTGGGATTAAAGGCGTGTGCCACCACCACCCGGCCAGTCTTGTTTTTTTAATTGAAAAAAAAATTACCTAATGGTTAGTTTAGATTAGGTACCAATTTAGTTGTAGTTTTTACTAAACTTCTACAATTTCATTATTGATTTTCTAACTAATCAAGTCTTTTTTTTTCAATTCAATTAGGAGCTACCCATATTCCTAATGAAAATCTCCCCCAAAATACACTTGTATCTTGGTAACAGTTATTATTCCACTAGAAAGTTTAAATTTAAAAGCTTCAAAGGCACTGTTATGAGTCCTTTCTGATTATGGAGATATGAATGTGGGGGAGGAAGTGTCTTCCCTCTGGCTACAGCAAGCAAAAGTGGTAAAGAATTCAGAAATATGGCCTGCTGTGTAAGTGGTGATAACATCTGCACTTGGATTCCAATGATCCTTCTGGTCTCTAGTTTTGAGTGAGAAGGAATAATTTCAAGGATGTCTTTAAAGCACTAAATCCTGTAATCTCTTCTCAAAAATCAGTATCTTTTAAGACATCATGCAATCAAATGCTATCGGGGAAGGGGCAAGGATAAGAACTGTATAAAAGTCACAAGGGTAGTAATGTCTAGGAATTTTCTGGATTTCCAATGTTTTCATCTATCAAACTGAATTTAGGAACCTGTCAACCTACCCTAAATAAGCCTTGAAACAGTTACAATACTAAGAATGGGGGTGAGAGGATGACGATATGAGAATACAAAACTCAGGGATTTTGTGATCAAATTATCAGTCATAGAGCTAAAACATACTGTTCTCTGTATACTGACACCATAATGAAAAAACAGCCAAAATTAAAAGAAAATGTGTGTGTGAATATGGGTACATATGTCAGGGGATAACTTCGTAGCTGAACTGTTCCTGAAAGATCTGCTTGTGTCTGGCCCTGGTTGCTTTACAAGTACTGAGATTACAGATGTGCATCCCATCTGGCTTTTTACATGAGCTCCAGGGATCAAACTCTGGTCACATCTGCACAACAAACATTTTGCCTGCTAAGCCATCTTCCTGGCTCTAGCTAAAATTTTAAAAAGCATAGAAGATTTAACAAGAATGAGAGTAATCAATTGCTACACTACTGGGATCACAACAACCTTGCTTGGGCAAGTTAATTAACAACTCCGGTTCCTTGTTCAATTCACTGAGAAGCCAGATCACTTATCATCTTCTAACTAATATCCATTGGAATAAACTGTTTCC